ATCCCACCTTCCTGATGAAGGTGCAGGCTAACTAACAGAGCAAGCGGCTGGGGTCTGAAGGCCTTGCTGGTGCCAACTGGCAGACACACCCTGAAAGCAGCTGAATACACTAATCCTTTCTCAAAAGATGCAAATTGCTAAGTTGATTCCTAATGCCAAGTTGACTGATTCCTCCAAACCAAAGAATTTAATATAGCACCAGTCCCCTGAGAAGGAAAAAATAGATTAAACCCCCCTCTTGAAAACTTTGGTAGTTGGGTTTTACATACTGTGTGCCTCAGGCTTGCTACTTGAATTTCACTTCAAAGATTCACTGCAAAGTATCTGCTAATTTCCTCCACCACCCCTTTTCCTATCTGCCTGGTTAGCCTTTAAAGGAGAAAATTTCATTAACAAAAACCATGGATATAAAATATGAAATCAGAGATCAGCTCCTGCAGTGCCAGAGCCAAACATTACTAAAAAGGATTAGTTTCTTTCACTGTCGAGAAATTTCTCATGGAAGACCTTGGCTGCCCTTTCGATATTAAAACTTCCCAACAAGTATTACACAGGAGTTTTAAATTAGAACACACTGTCATTGGGACAGTTATAAACTGTTAAATATGTCCTTTTTGCAGGCTGGTCTCCAGCAAAATGCAAGCCCACCGTGTTGCGTGATCTGAAGTAGTAGGGATATCAGTGGACGTTTGTGGGCAGAACCATTCACTGACCTTGCTGAGGGTGATAGGCTCTTAGATTTAGGTAGCGTTGTGCTGAAATCCGGCCTCCAAATTCTCTCCAGTTTTCTTCCTCTTCAGAAAATGTTTTCATTTTTCTTCCTCATATTCAGGGCATGTCAGATTTTCTTTAGAATTCTTTAGACTGTCTTTAGAATTCCAGTCAGTATGGGGTTTTGAGCTTACCTTGCTGTTACACAGTTGCCAAGGCTGTTTTGTGTATTCCCTGATGTCCCAGCCAGCATTTCTCCTGCACACTTAAGTTTCCCTGGCTGCCCATACTTCTGGAACTGAGAAAGCTCCTCAGAAAGCCCAGCAATATCACCTCAACATATATCGAGAAAAATAAAGTATAAAGTAATAAATCGTGTATGAGTGCCTGTAGGATGTTACAATGGCTGTAAAACAATGTTCATCCACCTTGTGACCCCTGATGTAGCTGGACCAAAAGTCCCACCATCCTCAGCCAGCTTAGCCAATGGTCAAGGATCATGGGAGTTGTAGTTCAACATCTGGGGACCCTTGGTTGAAGAGTACTGCTATAAAACATGGATTAGATAAATTCATGGAGCATGGGTCCTGCAATGTGTATATGCCACGATTATTACTAACATAACTTCCATGCTCAGAAACTGGATATCTTCAACCTATGAGTCTGGTTTGTGGCGGTCCTTTATCAGGCACGTTGGAGCATTTAGCTGAAAATGGAAATAGGAGCAGAACTTGCCAGCGCTAGCTTATTCATACCATGTCTGGAATGGAACTCAACCCAACGAATAAAATCAGCATTTTCTATCATTTTTGCTTTCAGCCCACAAACAGTACATAACTGATTACATTTCCCTCCCTGATTTGAGTTGTGGTTCCTTTGCACCGAAATGAATGGGGTGGAATGATGTAATGACAATGTCGGTGATGTAATTAACTACATAAATTATGCAATGAATGAACTGCAGTGGAATGAAAACAGTACTGCCAACAAAGTTTGCAGGGTGGAACAGAAAACAATGCCTTCTTACAACCCTTAGGCCCTTATTTGCTCCTGTGACAGCTGCCTCTCTCCAACTTTACACCTCCTCTAGATGCTGACAACCAATAGACCAACTTAATGCCAAGGTGTCTCACCCACCATCTCTCCTTCCCATCGTCTCTGTTCTTTCCCTTTGTAATTGTCTACAAAGGCAGAAACTCCAGACTCACAAACAGAGCAAAACATACCCTACTCCGTTGCAAACCCCTCTATTTAATTTCCCCTCCTTCTTTGTTTGTTTTTGAGCGATTTTTCTGACAACAATAATCCCCTTTTAAATGCTGGTTCCGCCAGTCACATAATGGACCTTCCCTTCTGTTATTTGACCGGCAGAGCTGGTAATGAGTGTTTAATTATAGTTTATACAGCCCACTTTGGTCTGAGTGGGAAAAGCTGCTTTGTTACAGTCAATGAAGTATTTAAAGCTACGTCCAAGGTAGGGACGGGTTTATTAAACACTTGGGTAAGCAATAATAAACTAACATTGATCGAGCAACTTGATAGCTTTCTTTTATGTGCTCGAGGAAGCGGGGGGGGGGGTCAGATCCAGGTAGAAGAATTTAAAGTAACTTGGCACAGGGAAAAGAATGTGTTCACATGGCTGCTTCAGGAGGCAACATTGTTTGATGTAACCCAATCTTCCACTTGTATAAAAAGAAAGTTGCTTTGCCACCATCACCACCAATGGGCAGGCTGGTGGGATCCTTTGTAAAAGGGGAGAGGACAGATTCATGGAGAATAAAGCTATTAACAGCCACTATGCTTCTGAGCGCCAGCTGCTCTTGTGCTCAGGTCCAGGTCCATCTTGGTGGCCACTGTGAGAACAGGATGCTGGAGTAGATGGGCCACTGGCCTGGCACAGCAGAACTCTTCTTCTGTTCTTATGAGGAGGAAGACAGTTCCTTCTCCAAGTCACTACACCAGCCGTCAGTACCCTGCTGTCCTCCAGTAGTTTTGGACTGGTGGGCAATGGGAGTTTTGTTCCAAAACATCTGGAGAGCTCCAGGATGTTGGTAGTCTACTGTAGTCCTTGAATATGAATTATGTCTCAAATGTTTGATATACTTTTACATTGTTAATTTAAACTGAACTGATGATGTTAAGAAATGGCAGGCTTTAAAAAACAAAAACTTGCTCTGTTTCAGTTGAGTTCTTGCAAACTGATGCAGACGTATTGCTGTCAGCGGTTACATGTTACACTGCAATGCTATATCGCTGCATCTTGGGGAAATGGAATTTGCACTGCATGCTTGCTGCAGGAACCTTGGATAAATTTTCTATTGTCCGCTATCATTTATATCTAATATGAAGCATTCTACACAGCTCATCTTTAATCCCCATGCTTGTTAAGGAGCTTAAGGAGTAAAAATCAGTTGATTTCAGGGTATTTTGGAGTTCAAGGTCAATATGATTATGTCCTCTTTCTCCTTCTCTCTCCCCCCCCCCTCTCTTTATTTAAAGGCACGGTCTCATCACAGTTTCCAAAGTTCAATTTCTTTTTCGGTCCCCTAATTAAAAGCTGTCCAGGAGTATATCAGGAGGCTTTTATATGTGAGATCAACCCCTTGCCCTGGGACCAATTATAGAAAAATAGCTTTACACATTTTACTGTTTGAATATCTGATGTTCATACATGCTGTCATGTTTTATGGTGAAGGCATGATAAGAAGCATACCATTATCAGCCCAGGACACAACAGCATTCTCACAGCATTAAAGCCCAGAATGGAAACATCAGATATTATTATTATATATTTATTTAAAACCCAACTTTTTCCCCTGACAGGTACTCAAGGCGGCTTACATATAAAATAGGAATAGCTAAAAATATGGGGGGGAGGAGAGCAATAATTTAACAATGATTAATCATTAATAGAAAAATACAATAAAAAAATCACAGCACCAACCAACCCTTTCCTTAAAAACAGTTCCCAAAAGCCTGTTGGAACAAAAAAGTCTTCATATTTTCGATGGAAGGACAAGAAGGAGGGAGCCAGTCTAATTTCCCTAGGAAGGGAGTTCCAAAGTCTGGGAGCAGGTGCCAAGAAGGTTCTCTCCTGCATCACTACTAAGTGTCCTGAGAGGGTGGCGGGACCAAGAGAAGGATAACAGACAGCCCACAAACAGTTGGGGTGGACCAGCTTGAGAAACAGTTGGGGTGGAACAGGTTTTGGGGTTGGTCCCCTTATAGCAAAAGCTGCAACTGAGGATCCCTAATTGATCACTGGTAGGGGCTGCTATGATCCTTCAGCCCCTGAGCTGGGCATCTGGATAGGAAGTGCTGCCCTCTGAGATTCCTTAAGGGGGTAACCCATGGAATGGGTCAGGAGGGGCCCTACCCCACCTGTTTCCCTGTAAAGAACCAACCCAATGCCTCTTCCTCCCCTTGCATTGGTGACCCATGTCAACTTGCCCCCAGACCCATTATACCTGCAAGCATTCCATCAAGCCATTATTAATGTCCACCTGTTGTTCCACAGTCACCAGTTGTGACTGTTGCTAGTCACTGATGAATGTACTCAGTCTGGCCTGCACACTTCCATCTTTGTGTGTAATCTTTGGGTGTTGAATCACCCAACTGTCATGTGTCTGCACATTCCACCAGATCACCTTGTTAACTTTTTCCCAAGGCCCATTTACCTGGGCAGGGTCTGTCTGTGGCCCTTCTTCTAAAGTTGCCTCTCAAGGAGCTCCAACCAGACAATTAACATTTGACGGTACTTCATAGCGGTCAAGTGTCCCTTATTTGAAGGGACAGTCCCTTATTCCAGCGCCATGTCCCTCTGCTGTCCCTTATTGATGGATGTCCCTTAAATGTCCCTTAAATGATGTCCCTTAAATTTCAAAGGAAGCAGCTCCTCTCCCTCCCTCCCTGCCGGCCAGGGAGGAGGGAGGCTCCAACTGTGTTACTTGCCTGTGTTGCTCACCCAATAAGAAGTCTAAGAACGACTGGGGGGTGAAGCTTGCATGCCTTGTGTGTGGCTAGTTAATGCAAGCTGAGGGGTTTTTTGAATGCTGGATGCCATTTTGTTGCACGTGCTGCTGCAAACTTTGCAGTGCAAAGCCAGGCCGGGGAGCCATCTTAAGTTGAGGCTGCATAGGCCTTGTGGTGCATGTGATTCAGATTCTATTCAGTTGAACCTCTGGTTACAAAGTTGGTTGGACAGTGTTCTCGAAGCTACTAGCATGAGTTTGACCAGACTGCAGGAGGACAGGAAGACTGGAGAAGACTGGAGTGCCTGGAACAGGTGAGGCTGCTGGTCCCTTATTTTCAAGGCTGCTGGTCCCTTATTTTCAAATCTGTAAGTTGACAGCTATGCGGTACTTTGAAAGCAAAGCATTCAGTTCGGCAACAGCTGTTGGACAGAGGTGAATTCATTTCCTCTTGCCAAACTCATTGTCTCCGCGTTGTATGACAAGCACACCTTGAGGTCCTGAAGATGCAAACTGAGATGTCCCCAAGGGCTTGAAGCTGTCCCACATCATGCCCCTCTGTCCCAACCAGGAAATGTGCATTTTGTCACCCAGATGGAGGTGGGTTCTCCTGTCAGATGGTGCAGCATGCTGATGAGGCCAGTTTGCCATTCTGTGCCTGCAAATCCACACAGCTCTGTAGTCAGGACCTGCAGGGGTTCAACAAAGAGAGATAAAGCTAGGGGTTTGGTGTGGGTGAAAATATGCTCTATATCCTGCCAAGTGCCCATGCATGATGGCCTTAGTACTTAAAGATTTGGGGGGAGGGAGAGAAATCGTGTCCTCCCTAAAAGAGGGCATGTGTTGCAGTGAGACCTGGAGACTGACCTCCTGATTGTGGGTGGGTATATTGGACAGCCACAAACCTGATTGGTAGGTCCCTCGTTGCTGGATTTAATCTGGCCAATGGGGTGCAATCTAAATGGACCGAGGGACCTATATATATACCTATGCACGTGACCCAGAGCTTCCTCTTTCGGGTCGTGCATTGGAACACCCGCCCATCTCTTCCTACTTTTAGGGCATTTTGCGATTGACCTTGCTATGCCATCATGTGTCATCAATCATTGGGACAGGGGCACAGCAGGAATTTTCCCCACTTGGCTGATTGACTGTTGTCATTTGGGTTTCGCCTGCCACATAGCACATCATCACAACTTGTAAGGTTGCAGATAGGCACTGGTTCAGGTGATAGGGATGGGAGAATGGTCTCGCCATCCCTATGTGAGGGATATTCCGTTAAAGGAATCCAGGGACTCAACTTGGTTTGGTCAACCCCCGAGAGGGGGTTGTGCCCATGCCTGAGTCCAGGGGAGCATCTGGGGAGTGAACAGAGTCTGTTCCTGGGCTTTTCACCTACCTCAGGTCTTCACCCTTGGCTGACCTATGCTGGAGCCCTGGGTCAGCGCTCCCTGCAAGGGTGCAGGGAGCTAGTTGAACCGGAGCCTATGCAACCACTCACTTTTCTGTAATCAATAAAGTTGTGGCCTAAATTCTGCCAAAAACCAAAACTAAAATTTGAGTCAAATGTGTGTTTATTTGGGAGGAAGGTATCTGGGTCTGAACAAGCAAAGAAAAAGTGGTCCATTCTCCTTAGTCACAGCAATCTGGGCTAAGGAGCAAAATTTAAGAGTCTTAAATGGTCATTCCTAATTATTCTATTAGTATCATCCAAGTCTTTATTTCTCTTGCTGTATCATTATTTATACTAATATTGTTACGATTACAAATGATGAAGCGCTATCCAAACGCAAAATAACATGGAAAATATAGAACATGATCACCCCAAAGGTTAAGCCCTTTTCGGTCTGATTTAACGAGAGCTAAGCATGTGCTTAATTCTCTCCCCTTTCAATCAAGGCTACTTAAAATTACTTTAACTTTAGATGAATAGTTGTGTCCCTGCTTAGCACATGTCCTTAGATAAAAAAAAAATCATGCATTTCTAACTCTCTGCTGTGCTTGAGGAGAGTTTAAAAATACATTTTACGTGATATTCAAAATGCCATTTCATTCTATATTTCTGTTACTATCCCAAAGGAATTGACTTAATCATGGCGGATGTTTGTTTCGGGTGTGTGTGTGCAGGAAAGCATGTGCCAATGAAAGAAAGGTAGACAAAGAAAAATAGAAGACTTGAGATAATTTTAACTATGGGGATGGATTGGTATATTTATGTAGAGTATTTTTAGCAGTTCATCATAATCATCCCATTTCTGCATGTTGCATGTTGCAAATTACAGGAATGTAATAGAACTACCATCCCCTCTAATAGCGATCTTTGGTCGCTGAGTTCCTACCAGTTTGGAAGCAAAATGGGGCTAACCATAGCAATGCAGGAACAGCTATTTTCATTGCATTGAAACAGACGGGGATGTAATGTATGCATTATGAATTAAATATCTGGCAAATGTCCCCTTTAAAAGAAACAGGTATGGAGAGCTCACTCAGAGATGTGGCCTGGCAGGATCAGTTGGTGACTACTTTATGCAGACTCCCAGGCCTCTTCAGAAATAAAATTTGTTAACCATTCACTCCAGACCCTCCAAGTGTCCCTATTTTTCAGGGACATCCCTGATTTAGAGAAGCCGTTCCGGTTTCTGATTTGATCCTGGAATGTCCCACTTTTCCTTAAGACTTTCCTATTTCCATTGGAGAAATGTTGGAGGGTGTGGAGTTATCCGACCCCCGAGCCGTCTGAAGGCAATCCTGTATAGGGAAGTTTTTTAAATGTTTAGTGTCTTACTATGTTTTTATATGGGACGCGGGTGGCGCTGTGGGTAAAAGCCTCAGTGCCTAGGGCTTGCCGATCGAAAGGTCGCGGTTCGAATCCCTGCGGCGGGGTGCGCTCCCGTTGTTCGGTCCCAGCGCCTGCCAACCTAGCAGTTCGAAAGCACCCCCGGGTGCAAGTAGATAAATAGGGACCGCTTACTAGCGGGAAGGTAAACAGCGTTTCCGTGTGTGGCTCTGGCTCGCCAGAGCAGCGATGTCACGCTAGCCACGTGACCTGGAAGTGTCTCCGGACAGCGCTGGCCCCCAGCCTCTTGAGTGAGATGGCCGCACAACCCTAGAGTCTGTCAAGACTGGCCCGTACGGGGGGGGGGGGTACCTTTACCTTTACCTTATGTTTTTATATTTGCTGGAAGCTGGCCAGAGTGGCTGGGGCAACCCAGTAAGATGTGTGGAGTGTAAATAGTAAAATTATCATTATGGAATGGGGCGTCCCTCTTTTCATCGAATAAATGTTGGAGGGTATGTTAACTCAGCTTGTAGTAAGTTTCAAAATAATCCACTGAATATAACATTCCCAATGCAGCCAAGGTTCCTGTCTCCGTGGCAGGAAAAGTTAGGACTCAAATGAGTGACTTGAATGTGTGTGTTAATAACCCAGCCCACTGCCAGCACTGGCCACACCCACCACTGGCCACACCCACTTTTATGTGTCCCACCCCAAGCATTGCTGCATGCAGGCCAAGTCAATTGCCCACCTCGAGACTAGGTTAACATGGAGCAACTCTTATAGGATTAAGGTGAAGAATATCTGAGCATGAGCAGGTGCCAAGAAAGGGGAAATTATAAATTCACTTGTAATCTTATTTTTATTTATGAACATATTACAGTGTTGGTGACTCAGACTCAAGGCTTGAAATACACGTGGGGATTATGAACAGGCTAGATTTCTATTATGCCAGGTAGCTGCAAGTTTTACCAATATTGCTAATTTGATCCACTTTTTTTTATTCTCTGCCAACCCATATATTCTCCCAGGAACCCAAGTCTGCATAGGTAGTTCTATCCCTGCTCTGTCTCCCAGTCTGTGAGGCAGAATAGGCCAGTCACTATCTCTCAGCCTAAAGTCACACAATGAGCTTCAGGAATGGATGAGGTTTTGAACCTGGGACTTCCCAGTCCTCTTTCAACACTTGCAATATTGGAAAGCATTCCAGGTGTGCTCTGAGTGTGCAAACTTAACACAGAGCAGGTCTTTAATCAACTTACAATCAAGTTTAAAGACTTTTCAGATTCCACTAAATACCTGGGTAGAGAGGAAAATCCTAACCTGGTGCCAAAAGGATGTCAGTGTCCACACCAGGTGGACCTCACTGAGAACTAGGGGTGCAAGAAGGCAGCTGTTTCTGTCCATACCTGTATTAATCACATTCAGGGCCGTTTCCATTCCACAGTGTCCACCAAATACTACATAATTTGTCTTGCTGCCCACTATTTAACTTGGATCAAGTAAGATGAAAACAAAGTAAAAACAATGTAATCTCATTCATTCGCAGATTTAAAAACAGGAATATGAATACCATATTTGCTTGGCTGATTGCTATTCCTGATCAAAGACAAACATGCAAACTGTAGCCATTTTAGCTTCCTTTTCCTTTTCCATCAGGATTTCGTCCCTATCAGGACAGCTCTGTCAGAGGCAGGATGTTGAGGATTGCAGGTGGGGGATAATAATCTTTGAGAAAGCTGTCTGTAATCTTTGAGAAGCCTTGGAGAACAGGTGAGGTCCCTGCAGGCTGAAGGTGGACAAATGTTGTTCCCAGCTTCATTAAGTGGGGAGAAGAGGTCAGTTTAGGTCAATATCAGGAAAGGTCCTAGAACACATAATTAAACTAATGCATGATCATTTAGAAAAGGATGGTGTGATTACTAAGGTTCCTCAAAAAAAAAAAGTCATGCCAGAGTAATCTTATTTATTTCCTTTTATATATATATAATGTTACAAGCTTCGTGGCTCAGGGGGATGCTGTGGATGCAACATATCCGGATTTCAGTAAGGCCTTTGATAAAGTGGACTGCCTGGGAAGGTGATGGTTTTTCCTTCACTGTAGAACTTTAAACAGAGGTTAGATGACCATCTGTCAGAAATTCTTCACCTGGGACTTCTGCATGGCAGGGGGTTGGACTAGATGACCCTTGGGATCCCTTGCAACTCTATAATTCAGTGATTCTATCAGAGTGCTGTTGTGCTCAGCTTTTGCTTTTGGACTTCCCATAGGTTTCTGGTCGGCCACTGTGAGAACAAGATGTTGAGTGAAATGGACCATTGTTCCGATCCAGCAGGGCTTATGTTCACAGGCCAACAACCCAAAAAGACACTATGCTTTGATTAAGTTCAAACTCTTAAACTGTAATTCTTTGATTATTGTGTTTTGTAATGTTGGCTGCTCTAAAGGGTTTCAGAAAAGCAGGCTCATCATCATCATCATTGAAAGCAGAGGCATGATACTGTCATGGCAATGCACTTTTAAGCTGATCTCAGCAGGAGGGATTTCAGCACATGCTTAACCCTTCCAGTGACATTAAAGAGTCTTTGAAGTCCTTAAATCTGGCTGGGTCCTGCCCTAAGTCTCCCCTGTTGCATTTACAGGTCATTTCCATCATTCCAACAGTAGGAAAGTGAAGCCCCTTTTTTTGTTTTGTTTTGTTTTAAGGAGTTTATAAATTATGGAAAACAAGTTGACAGCTTGTCCTTATAAATATGAAGATTGCCTTCCGTACCCTCATGAATCTGAAAAGTCACTGCTTTAAAAAAAAAAAAAGCGCAAAACTACTGATTCAGCAAACTGAATGAAACTAAGCATTCCCTGGGTAAGTTTTGCTGACCAGGGAATACTCCAGCAATTTAATTTTTTCTTTTTCTTTTTTGGTGGTCCAACATTTGCTGTGCTTCCCCCCCCCTTCCAAATATTGCTATGTTTACAGAAAGAGTCCTCATTTCCCGCAGAAAGGTCCTATTATTGACAATATGAATATAACAGTGAAATATACTCCAATACCTGAATATGCTTAGAGAATCCAGTTACAGTCCCTGTGGAATGTTCCTTATTTGTTGCTAGCAAGGAAAGCTCTGGGGTGCTCCACATTTTCTGCTTATGCTTCCGACCTTACCGTGATAGAGAAAATGCACAGAAAATTTCATCTGATGCCACCATTACTCCACAATTCAACACATGGAAGATATAGCTCCTAAGGGCTCATTCCATGGTAGGAACAGAGGAAGCTGTCTTAGACAAAGTCAACCCATCTAGCTCAGCACTGACAACCCCAGATAGCAGCAGTTCTCTGGGGGATCAGACAGGAATCTTGCCCAGTTCTACTTGGGGATTAAACTTTGGGCCTTCTGCATGCAGAGCAGGTGCTCAACCACAAAGCAAGGAAACTTCTTCCCATCAAGGAACATAAGAAGAACATGTTGGGTCAAACCAATGACCCAGCATCCTGTTCTCACAGTGGCTGACCAGATGTCAGTGAGAAGTAAGAGCATTCTCCCTGCTCTACAGTTGCCAACAACTGGCATTCAGAAGCACACTGTGGAGGCAGAACATAGCCTCCATTGTGGCTAGCAGCAATTTACAGACTTATTCTCTATGAATTTGTCTAATCCTTTCTTATAGCCTTTTAAATTTGGGGGCCATCACTGCCTCCTGCAGTAGTGCTCCACAGAATGACTATGTAGTGCATGAGGAAGTTCATTCCTATATGTCCTGAATCTTTTAACATTCTGCTTTATTGGACGTCCATGAGATCTAGTGTTGTGAGAGAGGGAGAAAAGCTTTTCTCGATCCACTTTCTCCATGCCATGCATAAATTTAGATTATCATGCCTCCTCTTACTCGCCTTTTCCTTAAACGACAAAGTCCCCAAACTGTTCCTCATAGGGGAATCGCTCCATCCCTTTGATCAAGGGTTTGACCACCATTTCATCTCCCCATTCCTTCTCAGAAGTCCTCCATTATTTTCACTCATTATACACTGAATGTAGAACATATCCATCAGGTTTAGTGGCCACTGATAAGCCACATCCTCCATGAATTTACCAAATCCTTTAACTTCAAAAGATGTTTAATTTGGGGAATTTGAAGTGACCGTTCCCTGTTGCTGAGATTCCAGAGATGAGTGTCAGTTTGCCTCCAAAGGTTGAACGGAAATGGTAGAGTGGCAGGAGGCAACAATGGATAGTGGAAGTGGATAAGTGTTCTTCTGCCCCTCTCAATTTGGTTTTGAAACCCAATGCCTCATGGTAGGGCTGGCCTTGATTGTCTTTTCATTTTCCTCTCCCAATTCTTCTCCTCCAAAAGTCCCCTGTATTTGTTCTGATTGCAGAATCTTGAATATTCTGGTTGCAGAAATTATACTATTGGGTGGATCCCACCATGTGCAGTTCTCATATATATAGGGAGTGAATGAAAGAACAAGGTGTTTGGGAAATGTTTTTTTCCAAAACATAGACACCCCATCCTACTCTTGGGTATTTAATCACCCACCACTTTCAATTAAGTGCTTCTCACTGAAAGAGGGTGGGAAAGACTGTGAAGGAAATTGATTTCCTCCTAGCTAATGCATCTTTCCCAGTCTCTGGCCCACCCTTATAAGCTCCCCATTCCTTTCAGAAGGACACAGATTAGAAAGTCACTTGGTCAAGGGGCAGCAGAGGGCACTCCAGGCCAGAGCAGGTTAAGTTGTGGTCACTTTATCTCTTGTTGTTGACGCAAAGGCCCGAGGCCACGGCCTGAGGTTTTCCGGCAAAAAAAAAAGTGTTTACAAGCAGGTCAAGGACTTGTTAGCAGATAACCATTAGCAAAACAACTTTGCTATTGACAAAAGCAGCAAAGAAAGGTATGTTTGCAGATGCAATCCTTCCTTTCTAGGACAATAAGGTTAAATCAAAATGGCATTTCTGAGGGTCTGCTTACAAGAGCTTCCTTTCCCCTGCCCCCCTTGAGCTTTTAAGAAGTTGCCCTGCCCTCTCTCTCTGTCTCAAAAAAAAAAAGAGCAAGCTACTATGCACTTGTGCACTAAACTTTTTAGAAACTTAGAACTAAATCAATTCTGGGATTTACTGCTGGTCAGACAGTAGCCAGGGCTTGTTAATGTCTCTTAGCTTTAGACTCTGCTTTCTAATTAGAAAGATGCCCCCCTTCCCCAACCCGTAGCTCATGAAAACGTTTGGCTCTGAGTGAACCTCACCTGGTGTTAGCTTTCATGATTGCCTTCTGAGCATGTCTCCTCCCACCCCCCAGCCCAAAATCCAGAGCAGGTTCATCAAAAGGTTCCCTGAAAAGTTCAGGAGTCGTTCAAGCAAGCCCGAGCCAATTTATGGTTTTGTATGCCAGCAGCTGGGATTCAAAACCAGGGCAAGCTCACCAGACCAAATGAGGCTTTGCCTTCAAATGACACATCTGTTCAAAAGCCAACTAGCCTGGAATTTGCAAAAATGTACTGGGTTTTACACAGGCTTTTTTCCTAGCAAAGGAATTGTTTTGATCTGCCCATCTATCCATCGATCTATTCATCTGTCTCATTCCTTTTAACTAGGACAGGCCAACCGAATTTCACACTCCTGAATGCAAATCCCAGTCAGACTGTGCACTCCTCTGAATTTTTCAATGTACTATTCATGTGCAAAAAAATGCACACAAAATGTATACTTTCTGTGAACAACTAACACAACAGCCGTACTTTGCAGGCAAATGCATCGAAAAACATTGAAAAGTATGCAATACATATGCATTTATGTATGTATGTATGTGTGCACAATCTATGACAGAGTGCCAGCAAGACTGAAACGGGGTGAAATTAACAGCTTTGCCCATCTTTACTGCTAATATTCCATGCAGAGACTTTTCTCACCCCAAAAACTATTGCTAAGCTTCCCCACCCCCCATTTTAAATGAAGGAAAGGCTCTGTTTTGCTTATAAATTAACTACTAGCAGCCTTGTAAACAATGCTGATCAGGAATTACGGGGAGGGGGGACCAGTGCAGTTTAGAAAGGTACAATCTGTCATCTTGATTCAAAATGGTGTCCACTGGTTGCCAAACACAGAAGAAAACCTATTCCTTGATCTCAGGAACCATTACACAAAAAATAGTTGTGATATTGTAAGAGGTGTCTAAATGCATGCAGTTTTGAATAATTCAGTCCACCATTTTGAATCTGATTGTATCCAAACCCTGCTCCTTCATCACAGGAACCAGCATACAAAATTTGATTAACATTGGTACAGGTTTGATAGGTTCAGTCTGCCATCCTAATTCAAAATAGTGCCCAAAGGTATCCAATACCTCCTCCCCGATCTCAGGAAACATCACATCAAATTGGGTGAAGACATCTTCAAAGGTCTCCAGATGCATAGAAGAGACAAACAGCTTCCTAAAATACCTAGTAGAACTGTGGAATTGCAGATTTGGAAGTGATCCCAAAGGTCATTTATTCCACCCCTCGCAATCAGAAATCACAGCTAAATAATCCCTAACAGATGGCCATCCGAGTTCTGCTTAAAAGCCTCCAATGAAGGAAAGTCCACTACATTCCAAGGTAGTCAGTCTATCTCACTGTCAAACAGCTCTTGCCATCAGAAAATTCTTCCTAACATTTAGTCAGAATCTTCTTTTTTATAATTTGAATCCATTGTTTGGGTCCTCCCCTTTGGAGAAACACAAAATGAGCTTGCTCCATCTTCCATCTGACAGCCTTTCAGAAATTTGAAGGTGGCTATCATATCACTTCTCAGTCTTCTCTTCTCCAGGATACACATACCCAACTCCTTCAACCATTCCACATAAGGCTTGGTTTCCAGACCTTCAATCATCTTGGCTGTCCTCCTCTGCATATGTTCCAGCTTGTCAATATCCTTCTTAATTGTGTCCAGTTCTGGACATTATACCTCTCTTGATGCAGTTTGGAATTGCGTTAGTTAGTTTCTTATTCAGTTTTTGCTGCTGCATAACACTGTCAACTCATGGTTGTTGTTGTTTTTTGAATATTTTATTAGTTGAATATAAGAACAACATATAATCAAATACAAGCAAGCAAATAAAGTATCCCCCTAGCCCCACCCAACAGCCCCAACTACGTCCAAGTAATTACATTAGTAATATAATCAAATAAAAATTTATTTCTACAGTTGCTGGTTTTAAAAATTATCATTCCACATGCTCCCATGTGTCTTAGGTGGTTTAAATGAATGTTCTTTCTTTAATACATATGTGTCAACTCATGTTAAGCTTGTGGTCTACTAAGACCTCTAGATCCTTTTCACATATACTGCTGTCAAACCAGGTGTTCCCCATCCTACATTTGTTCATCTGATTAGTCCTGCCTAAGTACAGAACCTTACATTTGTCCTTTGTGGAATTCATTTTGTTAGTTGCTAGATGGAATGGAATGGAATGAAATAGCCCTCCTTCACTGATTTGGAATGCAAGAAGGTGACTTTGCTAATAACACTGGGGAAAAATATTGTTATCCTACAATATATTACCAAGAGTTCAAAATATACTTTGCCAACTGCAGTGTTTGGAATTGCACATTGTGGGTTGTATGGTGCCTTACTGCTCATGTGTCTGTATTTACCCACATTTTTCTGTTTTGCTGGAATATCTAACACTATCACAAATCCAATACCCATCCATCTTTTCCTCCTAATTCTTCCCTCTTCCCCCAGTGTATGGACCTATAAAAACAGAGTTGTGCTCAATAAACTCTTCCTATTAAAGATGACAGGTTTTTTGGTTTTTTTAAACACACTTGATTTTTTTTGTAAAAAAAAAATGACTGTGATTCCGCGAGAAGTGGAAGAAGTTCCTCCAAGTTCCTTTCCAAGCTGTTAAAGATTAGCTTGATGTAGATAAGCCTATTCCCCAAACTCATTATCTGTCTTCAAAATGCACCTTAAGGACTACTTAATAAAGTCAAGGTTATGTGAAGAGTATTTCAGTGAAAACCAGTGAATGACTGTTAATAAATCTGCATTACAGATTGGAGATTTTGTCTCTGTCTTTCATCCCAGCGATAGATGATCCCTCTGTTCTCTCCCTCCCTCCCTCCCTCCCTTTCTTTCCTTCTTTTTTTCCCTTCTTCAATAAACACGTGTTGCTACTTTGCTAAGGTCACCAGTTTGAATCAGAGGCAGCTGCAGGAAAATAGGAAGAGCATTTTCCAGCATGTTTACAATTACCGTGTTCAATGCATTGCAAAAATATTTCCACCACTCCCTGGAAGAAGGCTACAGAGGGTGGTGAGGTTGGCCATTTGCTGTGGCCTCAAGTCCAGTAAGGGGAGCATAGCCCTACCAGCACCATCATTTCTTCTTTTGCTCAAAAAGTTCAAGAAGATTTAAAGGTAGGGAAAACAGAATCTTCCCTTTGGCTATACATATACTCTCTTTCCAATTGGGAGAGGTCAACAAGGCTGCATTCACACAGCAGATTTATTCCGTTTCTCTGATCTTTCCCAAACTGTTAATTTACACATTATATTTGAGCTTTCAGAATCCACTTCCAAAATTCTAGTGGAACTTTGGCACTTATTTCCATGTTAATTGTTTCGGGGAGGGGGATCTGTTTGGAACCCCAGGAAATCACCCAAGTAAAGTCATGAAATTTGGGTAGTATACCAGGTACAGTATACAGTTTTCATGGGGGAATGGTAGAGGAACAGAAGCACGCATGTGCAGAAAGGGGACGGAGCAGCAGCATTGTTTGCTGTGTCACTTTTTCAATCTGAGGGCCACATGCCAATGGTGGGTGGGGCCAGAGGAGAAAGTGGGCGGGGCAATTTTACTGTTGCATTGTAGGCTAGTTTCTACACTCACACACACACACACACACACACACAGGCGCCTCTCTATCTGCCAACCAGACAAGCAAGTGCCACTATCAAGCAAGAGTTCAAGGACACACACCAAGGACAGGCAAAAATAGGGTGAGTAGTTCTGAGAGCCATATAGAGAGTCTTTCAGGGCCACATTCAGCTCCTGGGTTTGAGATCCCCCCTGTACGCTTTATAGGATAAAACCAGAACCTTGAATTAAGTATATTTCCTTTCCCTGAGATCCTGGTGAGCTGTGCAGTTAAGAAACCGAGGTTAAGGGGAAGAAGAACAGAACAGATAGAATAAAGGATGGTGTGATATGAAAGTCCAGGCATCATTGCACGAAATGGCATTCCCATACACTTGTCAGGGCTCAGAAGTTTTATTACCAAGGAATTTCACTTCTGCCTCTTATTCTTAACACACTGCCCAGCGCTGGGCCTGAGAGGATTTGCTGATCTAATATAGATAGCGATTTTGTAGGTTTGTTGAGATTTATATAGACAGCACCTTGGGATCAGGAATTACATTTTAAAATGTAATAAAATGCTCCTTGGCATTTTTTTTTTCTAAAAAAAAAACTTACAAATACCCGTACTTAAAAAAGTAAACATCAAATAATCTCTGATATCTTTCAAGAAAATGTTGACATAGCTCAAGGAGCTTCATCCAGATCCCCGAGTCGTTTGCTAGAGTCAACTTAATAAACTCGTTTTCTTCATCCTGCCATGAAGTTTCCTATCCCTGGGAAGATGGAAAGGAAACCAAAGATTGTTTTCTTTTATACATGTATTTATTTATGTGTAGATCGATAGACAGGTAGAATTTTTTTTGACATGTACTGTATGTATGTATGTTTGTACAGTATGTGTATATATATATATATATATATATTTCTTCCACACAATTCTCCAAATCCTCAGCCGTGGTAGGGGCTACTCCACTACAGCAAATGGGCACTTTGCCTGCAAATGTGATGTGCAAATTTCGGGGAAGGACTGTAGCTCAGTGGTAGAACATCTGCTTTACATGCAGAAGGTCTCAGGTTCATTCCCCAGGTAGACCCCTGACTGAAACTCTCCACCATCTTCTGCAACTCTAGAACTGGTGCCCTCCAACTGTCTTAGACGACATCTCCCATTAGCCCCAAAATTCCTTCAGAACTCTTCAGATGACTTGCCTGAGAGCCAAAGTGAGGGAGGAGGCTCTTGATTTTGCTTTCCAGTAAAATACACCTTTAGGGGTGGGGGGAGACTGCAAAGTCTGAGCTTGCCTCAAGCTGGGGTGAAGAATTGTGAACTGGAAAAGTTCACATCCTGAACTCGCCCGATGTCTCCATCACTAGTCAACATCTACTTTGCCTTGAACGTTTTCCTTTAGGCAAAATTCAAGGCCAGCTCTAGTACAAGAGAATTCCAAGTTTTGACCTATGAGTGGAAAAAGTGATTGTTGTCTTCCAGCCATAAGCCCTGGAAACCTAGAAGTAATAACAGCAACTGTTGCTTTCATAAGATGAATGGATAAATAGGTGGATTGTTAGACTATGATGATGATGATGATTTCTTACCTCCCATTCCTTGAAAGGTCCCAGGGTGGATAACAGCAATGTAAAAATACAACGTTAAAGTAAAAACTACTTAAATAAGATGCCAGACACAGCTCTGTGGGGAAGGAATGTCCTCTACCAGGCCATTATACCCCAAACTTTTGAGGGTGGTGGAACTACCAGGAGGGTTTCCTAAACATAGCTATGGCTGTATAATCTATATACCACCCCTCATTAAAAAAAAATCACAGGATTTTTAATTTTAATTAATTTACCTTTTTTGCTGGTCTTATCACAATTCTATTTGTTCCGCTCTGACCTTCATCAGATGTCTCACCTGAGCAGGACTCTCCAAATCCAATTCAGTGTAAGTCTAAACACAATCTTCTCATTTTGTCTTCTCCAACAAACTTGCCAGAGCAACATTGGTTTTCTTGCTCCTGCCTGTCATGAAAGCATTGAATCCAGACCAGCAAGCCAGGGGGAGCGAGGAAGCATTATAGAGAGCCCTCTTTGCATAGCAACTTTGCACGCTACCCAGGTCCAGGTGACAGCAGATAGGTTCCACTCATCAATAGTATATGAACAGCTAATTAATCATTAACCAAGGCTTTAATAAATGGTTACTCACTTGTTTGCCAATGTGGAACAAAGAACCAGTTGCGTGTGGGATGATCAGATGAAATTCTACAAAGGTAACTTCAGATGAAGACGATGCTGATGATGTGCAGGCTACTTTTCAGTAGGGAAGTTGATCATTCTATGTGTCCCCTGAATAATGAGGGTGATTTGGGGAAGACTCCCATATTCTCAAGTCAGATCATGCCATCAACAAAGTGTCTAGACCAGAGAATCTTAAAAGCAGTTATTTTGCCTCTGATTTTCCAAAAAGCTAAAAACACAACAAGGGGTGAGTGTCAATTTTTTTTGTTTCTGTTAACTTCTCATTTTTCCAGCCTTAAGTTCAGTTCTTCATATTTCAATGTCAGAATTTTTTTAAGTAGCTCTGTAAATTCATCTGCATTTTAGTGTGAATTTTACCTAACATGCACATTTTTGCAAAGTCATCCCCCCTTCTCTGTGTTATTTGCACTAACATATGCATTTTTATGGGCACTTTACCATCATATAGGCATACATATAGACACTTTACCATAGTATAGGAATACTATTACCTGGCTGGAAAATTATTACCTGGCATTGCAAAATTCAGAGAAATGCAAACATCAACAGATGACTTTTTTGTTCTTGCTGTTCTCCTAGTGTTTCAGAAAGTGTGGGTTGGGCAGGTTCTCTTTTAAATATGAGCTGAATCAGATATCTCCCCCATCCCTACACACAACCTTCCCACCCTTTCCCTTTTCCCACCTTGAGAAATGAAAACCATATTGACTCAGGAAACACCCAGAGCTTGAGAGGGGAGGGGTGCAGATGAGAGGGAAGTGATGGAGAAACAGGGGAGGGGATATTTTGCTTTGACTAACAAGTCTAACTTTTAATCACAATAAATTATTTCCCCGGTGCACTCCCATCATAGTCATTTGTGGAAGGAATGAACGGAGTAGTTCCTCCATGTGAGTTGCAATTCTCCTCCAAGTTTTGGCTGAGAGAGCAAGTGGTGGTAAACAAAGCAAAACGGGAAGAAAATTATTGTTGTTGTCTTATGGGCACTTTGCCCATAAGGTCTTGCAACAATTTAAAAACAACAGATAGCCATTGCACTACAGAAGGCACAGTTTATTGTGTGGCCAGCAACCCGCTTAGGCATTCTCTTGCACAACAACTGCCTGCTGGTGGAAAACTTTTTGCCAGCAGAAGAGGAATGCTGCAGAGTAATTTAGGATACCCATGAGGACTAGACACTTGCTGGATATCCAGCATGCCCTCTGTTCTGCACCAATTCCCAGACACTGCCCATAAACTCACATCACGGCCTCTGGCTATAAACTGTCCCGATATACTTTGCTTCATAGTTTTGCAAAATATTAAAAAAAATGTTCATGGAAATGAAACTAGAGCTCTCCTGCTCTCCTGCCCAATTTGCCAGGATGGCCTGGGAATCCCCTTGGAAAGGCGGGGGGTTTGAAAGATTTTATGCTTGCTCACTCCAATTCCACTGACTTAAAGGATTAAAGGGCTGAAGAAAAGAAGAAGCAGGAAACTGAAGTTGACATGAATGCCGCACAACTGTTGAAGTGTATACTCTCCTCCCTCTAGCTTTCCCCTTTTCTTTCCCAGTTAATGAATAACTCTGGATGTTGTAACTTATCTTGCTTGTACTTGGGGGGAAATGCACTTGGGCAGTATCCCTTAATTGGTGTCTTAAGCATGTCAGACATATCTGTCTTATCACAAAGCTTGTAAAAAAAAAATGAAGAGCAGGGCTCCCCCAGATGTAGGGGTGGACTGCTTTGACTTGAGATTAAATACTTTGTAGAGATCAGGCCATGTTCTCTCTCTCTGACACACACACACTTTCCATTTATTCTGGGAAAGTTTGCCCGTACCAAGCAATGCAGAGAAACACATCACTTTTCTTCCAAACAGAAAAAAGAATGGGTGCTAATTCTTCTACTGAGCTTGAGTTCTAAGTGCAGCCTAGAAAACCCTCTTGGCATTGGCCAGCTGACAGCTGTTTTTCTTAGGGCCTGCCAGAAGGGGTCGCTGCGGTGCACAGATTTCAAAGCTAGATACGTGAAGGGGAAGAGGAAGATGCTTTGGAAACAGAACTAAAGGAGAGAGATATTTGGTAAGCTTCCCACCTCCCCTTCTTTAGAAATGTGATGTTTGGCTAAAGTCTAAGCGGAAGTCCTTCCATTGTTGCCACAGCCTTTTTGTGAGTCTAATCCCTCACGCAGGACATTCGATCCTCAAGCCCATGCTATTACCCCACAGTGTATTATGGATGGCAAGCTAGCTCGGGGATTAGAAACACATAAAATGCTCAGAAAAAACATTTGTTGAGATTTCCCATGCAGACTGATGCAGATGGACAGTTAGATTCCACTGCTGGAATTCAAAGCCGTCCATTGCCACAGTGTACAGCAATGACTACAGGGAACAGAGGTGCTTGCAAAAGTAACATTTTCACAATAATAATGACCTCTTCCATTAATTAACTCTTTCAAGGGTGTGCATCAAATAAGTTATACTCAGAGTAGACCCACTTAAATCAATACACTTCAATTCATTGTGCCCATTAATTTCAATGGGTTTACTCTGGGTAGGTCTAGCAGATATAAGTGGATCCCCTTCAGGTGGGTAAGGCTGCTTCTACACATTGCTCCTGGGGGCCTGCAAACAGGCAACAGATATATTTCATTCAAGAGGTTATTGAAGTCAGTGAGCAAAGAACTGGCGTTTGAGAGTTGAAATCAAACCCAAGTTCTTTGCTCACACATTTCTCTCCTGCCTCCATCCCTAAAGGTACTGTACGGTTTCTTCAGAGCCCTCTCTTGCCTCATCTCTGCCTTTCCCCTCAAATTTCTTATATATCCCTTTTGCATGTCAATTCATTGTCTATACGGTACCCTTCCTTCTGCACCCAGTTTTCTGGACTCTTTGTCCCTCAGATCCCCTACTTTCTGAGAACTTTTCCTGTCCTTGGCCTGCTCCACAAATCTACTCCTGTTCCTGTGGCCTGTGTGATTTTGTTAAATCCCAGCCAAACCAACAAGTTTTCCTTCCTATGATAATCCTGGACTGTAAACATTCCAGAAAACTTACTGTCTTTCCTGTGGAGCTGGAAAGCTTGTGAACTCTTATGCCACCCCACCAGATCAGCCAATCTGAGGATTCATTGCCACAATAGTGCAGATTTCCTGTTGAGGGCATTTCTGTTTAGGCACGGGGCTTGTCCATTCCTGTAGATCTTTGTCATGCTTCTTTAGGATCTTGCTTCCTTGTTTGCTCCAGCAATAATCAAAAGAGGAATCACCATTTCCTCTACTCAAGTGAGTAATATACATGTGATGCACGTTTCTCATTGATGAAAATGCTTCCATTCACTTGCCTTAGAACAACTTATAATACACATTTTACAGATGAGGAACTGAATTTGGGAGGTGTTGTCCTGATGCTGAGCTAAGATGTGAAGCCAAATATTTGGGGCAGATCCACACCATCCATTTAAGGCCCATCCAAAGCACATTTAAAGCATACTACTTTCTCTAAAGAATCCTAGGAACCGTAGATTGTTAAAGGTACTGTGAATTGCTATTCTATGAGGGGGGGACTACAGTTCCCAGAATTCTTTGGAGAAGTCATGTGCTTTAAATATGTGTCAGATGGGCTTTCAGTGTATGGGGTGGATCTGCCCATGGTCACCAGCCACACTTATGATCCTTATATACCATTTTCTCTTGTTTTTATTTCTATGTATAACTACATATACACAAAGTCTGCTTGTTTTAGAGCTCAGCCTCCCCTAAATAAAGAAAAAAAATCAAAAAATGTCTGAGAAACCTTTTGAGAACTCTCATTTACTCACCCCATTCCAAAGGATAGGCCACATTGCAGAGTTTTCTCAGAATGTATCACACTATTTTTGTAATGGCCCCCATCTCCCCCCTGCCACATATGTGCATGGTGTCCTCCAAAAAAAGCTAAGTCTTAGAGATTGCAGATGATGCACAATTGTTGTCAGGCATTAGTAGCAAAAAAGAAAACCTGGCAGGGGGTAGGAACTGTGCTCTAGCCACAGTTGAGGAAACTATTGGAGAAACTTCTTGAGAATTTATCCTGTCCCTGGAGAAATTTGATGAAATGCTCCCCCTGCTCACCATTTCTCTGCCTTCAAATAGGATGGAGAGTTTTGATCGGGCCATTTGCACACAGCTCCTGTTTATTTGCACACATTATGAATCACTTTTTCGAATGAGCCTTAATCTTCTCCATTAGTTCCATCAAGGAAAAGCATCATCCTTCTCAAAAGAGGCATTACACAAAAACGAGAAGCCTGTCAGCCCGACAATAAGCACATTTATTCAAAAGTCGGTCCCTCTCCTTTCAATGGACTTTTCTGGTAAAATGTGCTTAGGTTGGCAGTCTATCCTTGCAATTCACTTTGCGCAGCATGGAATTTGACTCCAACCATTTGTGCAGAAAAGGCAATGAGGCAGGACTAATCTTACCAACTAAGATAGTTACCGTCCCGTAAAAACTAAGATCTCAAAGAGGGAGATAAGTTGGCTCTCCAATTAATCTGGCCACCAAGGGTGTTTCATTGAGAAGTAATTTTTTTAAAAAAACTTCCTTACATTTGGTAGATCATTTAGTACATTCAGAATAAGCTTCAGATTCCCAGTCAGAAGCCATCTCAAAGCCTTCATAGAGGTGGATTTGTGTCATAATTATACCATAGCTTTGAAAGAACTATACCATATTGAAGAGAAGATGACTAAGATTCAAGATTGAACAGACATGAATGAATGATTTCATGGAAACTACTGAAGAGAGTCAACATTTAGAAATCAACATGCCAGAAAATATTTAATCCCACGGTGTTTAATAAATATGTGATAATCAGGCAGGGAAATTGACTTCATTGAACCCCACCCATCATGATATTTTAGAACCTCTAAACCATGATGGGAAATGGGGCAGAGTAGGTTTTGTCTCACCACATCAGGAACATAGAAAACTGCCTTATACTGAGTTAGACCATTGGCCAATCTAGCTCAATACAGTGGTACCTCGGGTTACATACACTTCAGGTTACATACGCTTCAGGTTACAGACTCCGCTGACCCAGAAATAGTACCTCGGATTAAGAACTTTGCTTCAGGATGAGAACAGAAATTTTGCTCCTGCGGCGCGGCGGCAGCAGGAGGCCCCATTACCTAAAGTGGTGCTTCAGGTTAAGAACAGTTTCAGGTTTAGAATGGACCTCCGGAACGAATTAAGTACTTAACCCGAGGTACCACTGTATTGCCTAGGTCAGGGGTCAGCAAACTTTTTCAGCAGGGAGCTGGCCTACTGTCCCTCAGACCTTGTGTGGGGCCAGACTATATTTGGGGGGGGGGGGGATGAACAAATTCCTATGCCCCACAAAAAATCCAGAGATGCATTTTAAATAAAAGGACACATTCTACTCATGTAAAAACACACTGATTCCCAGACCATCCATGGGCCGGATTTAGAAGGCGATTGGGCCGGATCCGGGCCCCGGGCCTTAGTTTGCCTACCCATGGCCTAGGTTGACTGGCAGTGGCTCTCCTGAATTTCAGGCAGGGTTCTCTCGCAAAACCACCTGGAGATGCCGGGGACCGAACCAGGGGAAAAGTTATAGCTGGTGTTATATTTCCCATTACAAAGCATGGTAGAACACAGAGCATTGTTTTATTCAGAGCAGTCAAGGAGCTGAATCACAAACTGAAGCAGAGAATGCACAGAGCGACTCACAAACAGACCGGAATATTCATACACAGAGAGATTCATGGTGAATCTTGGGGTGTGTGCACACTCCTCATATAAACAGCTCTTGGACATTTGTCATTTGGGGCAGGCGGGAGAGCTTGGATGCCCTCCTAATATTTTTTCCGCAGAAGTAGGGTGTCTCATTTGGGAAAATACTCTTCTGTTCTCCCTGAGTATTGACTGATATCCTATGTATATGTTATTTTTATAACATAAATAATATCATGCTCAGCATTCCGCACTTGCTGACCATCGTACAATTTTTTTACAATCAGGAGAAAGGCTGTTTGTGCATTTTTATCGATATCCAAAATTGTGCCAAGCATCATGGTATTGCTGGAATGAAGACCCTTTCTCCCTTTCCTCCCCCCCCTCTCTCTCTCTCTGTGTGTGTGTGTGTGAATGCTTCCTTTAATAGCTCTGAATTGTGGCCAAAGCATAAATATGGCTTTTCTGTGGCTAGGACTATCACCCATCTTATTTATGACTGACCTGGTTGGGTACCGGTGACCTTGGGGAGTTTAATTGAGGCTGGGATTATATGGCACAGCTTGAAGCCACCTGAATTTAAAGGGTGCGACACATATGCTCTCATTTCGATTCTCCTGTGTGAATGGCACCACTGTTCTTATCTCTTGGAATAATGTCTAAATATGTAAGCCATATGACAGTAAAATGGCCTCCCAGTGCCACTGGAATCCTGCTGCCTTCCCCAGCAATTTCCCCCCTTCTTATATCATTTTTTTACAGCCAACTCTTAACTTTTTTATGAATGTGATTTTGGCAAAGAATTGAGCTTGTAAAATATAGGTGGGGGGGAGGAGGGGGGAGATACATGGACACAATGTACTTAGCTCTCTGTATTGAGATTGTATTTAACATCCCTTTAATTAAATTGTTAACATGCCTGATGAATGTCCCTTCCTTTCACCCTGCCCATTTCACTGAAAAGTAATAAATTCTTAAAGTCACTTAATGCAACTGAATATTTTTTTGTGTTGGGGGGTGAGATTGAGAAAGCAGGGAGGCTCATGAGAAAAATGGGTAGAATAAAGCAGAATAGCTGAGATATCAGCTAGCCAGTGTGATATTTTCTCACTGGTGGCTGTCCCAAGATAGATATAAACAGCTCTACTTAAGCTTGCCTGAATTTGCAGGATAAAAAGAGAACACCATTGCTGTTGTTTTATGACACAGACAATTGCCACTAGACACTGAACAGATGATCTTCAACTTATATCATTTACATTCTCAGTTGATCTTCTTCTAACCAGAGTCCTCAATGGGCTTATATATTTTTTCCCTTGCAGCCGAAAGCAGCACCAGAAATCAGTGGAGTCGAGGAACTGCAAGGCCCATAACCGTTAAGAGCCTTAACTACCGAAGCTGATCACCACCATAAGGGATAGGGGAGATATTTTGTGCAGTTCACATATTAATGCAGACTTATTTAATTCACACTCCCCTCACAAAAAAGTGAATTAAAATGTTATCCTTTGAAATTTGCACTTCTCTAGAATTTGCAATGCAGTTCCGCAACCATTTTTCTTTTCTTTTCTTTTCTGAAGTATGTATATTAGGAGAAAGTCTGGGTAAAAATGCATGTATTAGTGAAACTAGCAGGTTTCATTTTTAACAAAATGCAAACTGATGTCAAAATATGGCCAACTGAATTTAAGATAGGAAAAAGGGAGAAACTTAGAAAAAACGAAACTGCCAGATTCATCCATCCCATTTACCATTTGGGTTCTTTCATGGTCTAGGCCATTTTCTTAAGAGGCTATTTTGGGGGCTTCACGTAAACTGTTGGAGAACCTTAACTGCCCTTTGGAAAATAAGTGACAAAGTGCCTTCCCCACCCCAGTGTGACCACCAACAAGAAGGGAGGGGAACTTCAGATACAACAGGGGATCCAACCCACTGTATTTCCATATTGTTTAAGGATGCAATAAGTTGGGTCCTACTCATTCCAGATCCAGCTTTACTGGAATACAGGAAGCTACCTGTATATTTAGTCAGACCACAGGTCCATGTAGCTCAGTGTTGTCAACAGTACATTGACTGGCAGCAGCTCTCCGGGGGTTTCTTCTTGCCCTACCTGGAGATGCTGAGAATTGAACCTGGGACCTTCTGCTTGCAAAGCATGGATTCTGCCACTGAGCCTCTCCTGAGTTATGGCCATTGGGAAGGGCAAGGGTTGAGGGAAGACTTCAGAAACTGACACCTCAAGATGCTCAAGGATCCTTGAAGAGGAGTCATCTCTTCTCCATATGGATTCAGTTGCCATTGTACTTTGTCTCTCCTGACCTATTTTCTGGGGGTGGGGGAAGCCCTCCTAAAAACTCACAAGAGCAGCTGGACATGTCTGGAACAGCAAGAGCCTGCTGGAGATGCAGTGAGTGCTGCAAGAGAAGTTCTAATTGTTGCCGAAGTGTTGTGATCAAAACAGCTTGTGGTGTGAGAGCCGCAGAAGAGGCTGTGGCTGCCAGCATCATTAGGACTAATCTGTTTGTTGTTGTTGTTTAGTCGTTTAGTCATGTCCGACTCTTCGTGACCCCATGGACCAGAGCACGCCAGGCACTTCTGTCTTCTACTGCCTCCCGCAGTTTGGTCAAACTCATGCTGGTAGCTTCGAGAACACTGTCCAACCATCTCGTCCTCTGTCATCCCCTTCTCCTTGTGCCATCAATCTTTCCCAACATCAGGGTCTTTTCCAGGGAGTCTTCTCTTCTCATGGGGTGGCCAAAGTCTTGGAGCCTCAGCTTCAGGATCTGTCCTTCCAGTGAGCACTCAGGGCTGATTTCCTTAAGAATGGATAGGTTTGATCTTCTTGCAGTCCATGGGACTCTCAAGAGTCTCCTCCAGCACCGTAATTCAAAAGCATCAATTCTTTGGCGATCAGCCTTCTTTATGGGGACTAATCTGTAGGCCTGGTGAAAGGAGGTGACAACAGGGAACTGGCATGTCCTAAACCGAAGGGATGTTGGCAGTAGTGTAGTGCTGGGTTCAGAAGTGCCTCGTTCCTTTGTGATAGCCACAGCCACACACCCTTACAGCCACACCCCTTTCAAAGATTATACAACCTTCTAAGATTATAAAAGGAATCTTAGAATTTTATATTAATAATAGTAAGGGATGCATTGCAATGACCATTGCAGATGTCCATGCACTGCCTTTCAAGTAGTGCATGCACATCTGCAATGGTCATTGCAATGCATCCCTTACTATTATTAAGGGATGCATTTTCTGGGCACATACATGGGCAAATGATTTGGAGTGCTCCAATATCTTCTTTGGAATGACTTAAATCGTGTTTTCCTTGAAGTTCCATTGTAGGTAACAGAACTTGCACACCATTCTCTTGAAATGGGAGCAGCTTGTCCTTTCCATGTCCCTTAATGCTTTGTGCTGGAGCATACAGAACAACAACTCCTTGGTGTTCTCCCTGCATGCCTTCTCCAGCGTGACTCCAGGAGCCAATCCTCAGTGGAAGACTCACCTCCATTCACGCTGGTTGGCTCCAACCAGCACAAAAGGTGAGAAGACATCTTCTCAGTGGCTAAAAAGCCCCCCTTTCATACAGATTGGGATGCTCTAGGATGCTGCAGAAATAGTAAAGGGTCTTTGACCCCACTCCCCATGACTCCAGACCACTAGATCTCTGTGTACTGCACCAGCAGAATGTCAGTGGACAAACAGAGAAGTCTGGTAGGCCAGATTAGATACACAGGCTAGAGGTTCCCACTGCCTGTCCTCGATGATATACATCATGATAAGATTTCTGTGTAGGCAAAGTGGGATCGTACATGTTGTTTTACTATCCAGGTTTAATAAAGCGCTCCTTAAGAAGACTGTGAAGCATTTACCATAGGTTGACCCGTACCTCTTTCAAGAGCTAATGGGAGAACAATCTCTTAAGAACAGACATGTTACACCTCTGAAGAAGTAAAGGAAACAACAAAAAGTATCTGAAAAAGCAGGTCTCTTATTTATTACATTTTAATAGAAACTCACTGCTGGCCTTATCTGATGCTATTCGGGTTAGGTTCCATGGTTTGTGTGTGTTTGACCAAATTCCCTTATCTTCTCATTGCTTGTGTTCTGCTCCGCTAGCATCCAAGGCATGCTGATATACTTATCTCCTGTTTTATAATAAAGCTTTGGCTTCCATGAGCTGGAAGAGAAGGAGAGGAAAAAAGGGGGAGAGCAATTTAGAAGATGCCGAACTTATCAGGGGTCCGACTTGTCAAGTCCATCGGTATTTTTAGTCAAGCTGAGGGGGGGGGGACCCAACACTTGTGCTGGAGTAGATTTATGCAGTGAAGTGAATTTAGCTTATTTAAAGGTTCAGTATCAGGAGATTGGATCTCAAGGGTTTTTTTATCTTCTTTTTTCCCTGATTCAGTGAAGTATATACAGAAAGTCCTCAGAGGCAGATTTACCAAAATACTAACTAGCTAATCCACCCAGCAATAAATGGCAAAGCAGAAATGGACTGAGCATCCAAGCAAAATGCCCCAATCAATAGAAAGTTAGATTGGCTACTTTTATATTAAGCCACCTCATTACCTATGGTTAACAAGCCCACTTCAAACCATGGTTTGTGAAGTTGGCTGCTTACTTGGCGTTGTGTTGAGACCTATTCTCCGAGGTCCTGAAAGTTTTCTTCCCCTGTGAAAGAGACGTCCTTTTTACTCTTATATTAAGCCATTTCATTACCATCGGTTAAGCCAGCTTCAAGTTATGGTGTATGAAGCTGGCCTGTTTGTTTAGCACAGTGCCAAAACATGTTCTCCAATTTCTAGATATTTATCTAGGAAAGAAGGTTCCATTTTCCTGTCATATTCACAAGCTGCTTTATGATTCCTTTAATTTGCAGGGTGGTCAAGGACAGTGTATGTCTGCTTTTCTTTCCAGTAAACACATTTACCTAGCACTATGAAGCCTCCCCAGCTGCCCACACTTCTTCTGAGACCTCTGCAGAGTTTTAGATAGGAGTCTTTCTCAGCGTTACCTGCAGATGCCAAACACTGAACCTGGGAGAGCTTTTTACTTGCAAAGTACTGGGCTGTGCCCCTCCACCAAAGGATATTTGTAAAGACATAAAAAGCTGCTTTAGACCATCAGGCCATTGGTCTATCTAACTCAGCATAGATCTTTCTTTTTTAAATATATAGATTTTTCATGAATTATAGTTCCTTTAGATAACTCTAGAAGTTTTAAGACCTGTGAATCTTTGGGGCCACACTGAGTTTTGTTCTATGGTTGCTAGTTCTCTGCTTTATGCGATGTTATGGTTTTATTTTTGTATACAGCTGCAGACCCTCCAAGTGTCCCTATTTTCCAGGGACAGTCCTGGATTTACAGAAGTCATCCCAGTTTCTGGTTTGATCCCAAGATGTTCCGCTTTTCATTAAGACTTTCCTATTTTCATTGGATAAATGTTGGAGGGTATGGAGTTATCTGACTCCAGAGCCATCTGAAGGCAGCCTGTATGGGAAAGTTTTTTTAAAAAAAATGCTTAATGTTTCATTGTGTTAATATTTATGTTGGAAGCTGCCAAGAGTGGCTGGAGAAACCCAGTCAGTGGGTGGGGCATAAATAGTAAAATTATTATTATGGAATAAAGGTAAAGATACCCTTGACCGTTAGGTCCAGTCGCGGACAACTCTGGGGTTGCGCGCTCATCTCGCTCTATAGGCCAAGGGAGCCGGCATTTGTCCACAGACAGCTTCCGGGTCATGTGGCCAGCATGACTAAGCCACTTGTGGTGAACCAGAGCAGCGCATGGAAACACCGTTTACCTTCCTGCCGGAGCAGTACCCAGTGGCATAGCGTGGGGGGTGCAGGGGGGGCCGGCCGCACCGGGCACAACATCTGGGGTTAGGGCAAATCCATGGGTTAGGGAGCGCAAATCCACAGGTTAGGGGGCGCAAATCCATGGGTTAGGGGGCGCAAATTACTTGCCTTGCCCCGGGTGCTGACAACCCACGCTACGCCACTGGCAGTACCTATTTATCTACTTGCACTTTGACGTGCTTTCGAACTGCTAGGTGGGCAGGAGCTGGGACTGAACAATGGGAGCTCACCCCGTTGCGGGGATTTGAACCGCTGACCTTCTGATCAGCAAGCCCTAGGCTCTGTGAATTAGACCATAGCGCCACCCACGTCCCTATTTTCATCGGAGAAATGTTGTAGGGTGTGCAACTGTTCTTCTCTTCTTTTTTGTAAGCTACTCAGAGAACTTTAGTCAATGGGTGCATGGTGTAGGTAAAATAAATGAATAAATAAAAAATGACTATATTATTAATAATTAATTAATTAATTAATTAATGAGTTCCCTGTAGATTTGTAACCTGTCTTTTCCCCTGACAGGGCTCAAGGTGGCTTACAGATTAAAACAAAAACTGTAGAAAACTGTAGAAAAATCAACCATTAAACTACAATTAAACACTGATAGAATTACAACCATATACATATATAAAATCTGTTTAAAACATAC